TATGTGAGGAGAGTGAGATGGACAAGGTAAAATTGTCAGGAGGAGTTGTTAGAAAGTAAAATATATTGTGACAATTCCACTCCTGCCGTTCATCAATAAACTGACAGATCATTTAGTGTCAATTAGGAGTGATAGATGGACAAGTCCCCATGATCCTGGGCCAAAATTAATGGCTGGGAGGGAGAGGGTGATTGAAAATGACGGCTGACATTGAGAGCAAAGTCCTGAAAGTCCCTGAGGGGCCATTACTTGCCTCATTCCCTTGCAGATCAATGCAGGGACAAACCCAAAAACAGACACTTGGAGGCAAAACTTAACCAGACTACCTTTCCTTCCTCTCTTTACCAAGTCTGGATGCCTCTCTTTTAGCTCCATTCCCTATGGCCAAGTCAGTGCCCCACTTCAGGCAACTTCAGAGCCAACAAAAGCCTGTTTCCAAGATGGAATCTGACACAGAAATGACTTTGGTGACAGGAGAACGGACAGGTTGTGATCCCAGTCCAAGGCAGTTCTTGAATACAGCCTGTCCTGTGGTGCAGGGATGAGCATACGAGTTCCAACCCCAACATCTCTAGTCCATTCCATGCTCTGTTCTCTGTCTTGGGTGATGTTATACAAATAAATTAAAGGTATCAACAGTAACAAAGAAGAAAATCCTAACTTTTTGGGGGAGCATGGATGGACCTGGAGAGTATTATGCTAAGTGAAATAAGCCAATCAGGGAAAGAAATACCAAATGATTTCACTCATATGTGGAATCTAATGAACAAAATAAAAAACAAAAACAAAATAGAAACAGACTTATAGATACAGGGAATAGATTGACAGCTGTCAGAAGGAAGGGATTTGGGGGGCTGGGTGAAAAAGGTGAAGGAATTAAAAAAAAACACACACACCTCATAGTCAAGGCAACATTATAATGATTACCAGAAGGAAAGAGGGGTAGGGGAGGTAGGAGAAAGTAAAAGGCGGTAATTGGTAATGGAAGGAGAATTGGCTTGGGGTGGTGAACACACAATATACAGATGATGTTATTATAGAATTATACACCTGAAACCTATATAATTTTATTAACCAATGTCACTCCAATAAATTTTTTTTAAATATATTTTATTGATTTTTTACAGAGAGGAGGAGAGAGGGTTAGAGAGTTAGAAACATCAATGAGAGAGAATCATCGATCAGCTGCCCTTGCACACCCCCTACTGGGGATGTGCCTGCAACCAAGGTACATGCCCTTGACTAGAAACAAACCTGGGACCCTTGAGTCCACAGGCCAATGATCTATCCACTGAGCTAAACTGGTTAGGGCAGAACTAGTATTCTTATAAAATGAGGAAGACACACAACATCTCTCTCCTTGTGTGTGCACATACCAAAGAAGGCTATGTAAGGACACAGCCAGGGAAAGAGCCCTCTTTAAGTACCTGACCATGCTAGCACCCTGATCTTGGACTTCCAAACTTCAGAACTGTGAGAAATAAATGTTGTTTAACTGCCCAGTTTATGGCATTCTACCATAGAAGCCCAAACTATCATCCCAAACTATCACCTGTGCAAGCGCAGGTGCCTCACACAGTGCCATTATCATCATCCCACAAGAATTTAAGAAAAGTGCACTACTTTTTAGTGTGAATCCTCTGCTCTAATCAGACTGACAATGAGGTTACTACCCTGCAATACTAATGCCTATATCAATCCTTGAACCAAAGACCCTCCTCACGATCCTCTTTAGCCATCAGCTTCACCCAACTTGACATCGTTCATCTCTGCACGGGTCTCCCTGACCACTGTGATTACTTTCCTTTGAGGCCACATCACCAGTCTCAGCCATTCCATTCATTTCTCACTTCCCATATGCTCCTTGTGCCTTCCTGATTTTTGTGAATGAAAATGCTCATCTCCCTAACTGGAATCCAAGCTCTTGCAGGGCAGGAAGCACATTTACACTCTGGACTCCCTGGAGCGCCCTGCGAGTAGCAGGAGCTCATGTTTCCCAGCCTTCACGGGGCAGATTCTCAATGGAGCCCAACCATCGTCTGTCTTACCTCGAGTCAGCTCCCTTTCCTTTTTCTCTCTCTAATCTGTTCTACTTGCCTCCAGATGTCAGCTCTCTTTTGCTGCAACAAGTTCAACAGTCAAGTTGCCTTCCTACTTTGAGAAAGAAAAAAAAAAAAGGCCAATCCAAAGGGAAATTTCCTATCCTCTCCAGCTTTCTTTCTTTCTTTTTTTTAAAATATATTTTATTGATTTTTTTTACAGAGAGGAAGGGAGAGGGATAGAGAGCTAGAAACATCTATGAGAGAGCGACATCGACCAGCTGCCTCTTGCACACCCCCTACCGGGGGGGATGTGCCCGCAACCAATGTACATGCCCTTGACCAGCATCGAACCTGGGACCTTTCAGTCCACAGGCCGACACTCTATGAACTGAGCCAAACCGGTTTTGGCCTCTCCAGCTTTCTTGATAACTAACCCAGCCTTTCCAAGCTTTCTCCTGTCTTAGATGAAAAATTCCCCCACCTCCTCCAGTCCAAAGTTAGTTAGTCTCTCTTAGAAGATCTTAACTTTTTTTCTCCTTTAGGATCCTACTCCTTCAAATCCGCCCTATTTCATCTGACTCACTCTTTCCCCAGATACTACACACACGATTCACAACACAGACTTCCCTTTCAAATACTGTTTTTCCTTTGTTCCTCAGAGCAGTAGCCTACACTTCCTCTTCCCTCACTGTAATCTGCCTTCTGCCCCAAAGCAAATCACTGTAACCACTTTCTCAAATGTCCCTAGTATCCCCAAACAGCCAAGTTCAAGGTTCCATCCTTGTCTTCTTCTATTTGTGTGAGAGTTGACTCAAATTGCACTTCCTTTTTGCACTCTCTTCTAGACTCCCAAACTGTGGAAACTATCTACAGGACCACCACCAGCCCCAAACAGGTGTCTCCTCCTGCATTATCTATCAGACGACACCACTATGTATCCCAGGTGTGGGATCATCTGGCCCGGGGGCCGTATAAGCCCCACAAAATCATCTGGTCTGGCCCTGCCAAGACATTAGGGTGAGTTAATTAAATGTTTAACCATATATAACAGGCTAATCCTTAAGTTGATAATTTTGTATGGACTGCTAACGATGTTATAAAAATCCAAATGGCCCTTGGCAGAAAAAAGGCTCCCCACACCTGAAACCAGTCCTCAAAGATAGACACCTCGCATTGACCTTCAACTCCTCCCTCTGCCCTACACTCAGCCAATGACGCTTCTATTAACTCCACCTCTAAAATGTCTCCAAAGCTCCTCAACTGTCCATGCTCACACCACTGACGTGGTGCAGGCTTTCATCATCCTGCACACAGTGTGGCCTTCCCAACAGGTCTGCCAGCCTTCTGGAGCTCTACTTCCCACTGAAAGCCAAGTGATTAATCAGGAATACTGATCTGATCATTCATTTGCTCAATAAATAGTCACTGACTGCTTATTATGGACTGGCACTGTTTGAAGTATTGGAATAAGACATCTCTGAGTATATCTTTCTATACCATTTTATACAATAAAAAGTACCAAGAGCTTTTTTCTTGCCAAAAAGCATTAACATGCCCTTGATGGTTTTGTTCAATGGATAGAGCATTAGCCTGCAGACTGAAGGGTCCTGGGTCCAATTCCAGCCAAGGGCATATGCAGGGGTTGCAGGCTCCATCCCAAGTAAGGAGCATGCAGGAGGCAGCCAATCAATGATTCTCTCTCATCGCTGATGTTTCTATCCCTCCCTCTCCCTTCCTCTCTGAAATCGATAAATATTTAGAGATTAAAAAAAAAAAAAAAAAGCATTAACTTGAATCTTATCATGAGGAATCAACCAGGGAAATGTGAATGTGAAACATTCTACCAGAAAGCTGGTCTGAATTCTTTTTTTTTAAAAAGTCAATGTTTTGGGTGGAGGTGGTGAGGGAGGGGGGTGAGGGAGGGGGACAGGGAGGCTGGAGTTATTTTAGATCAAGAGACTAAAAAGAAAGAATTACCAAACACAATGACCCCCTGATTGGATCCTGGAGCTACAAGACCTTTTTGGGACAACAGGGAAAGTTAAAACTAGATATTAAGTCATTATTGAATTTCTTAGTGTGATAATGACACTGATATTTGGAGGATGTCCTTCATCTTTAGAATGCATGCCGAAGTCTCTAGAGGCAAAATGTCATGATGACTGCACTGCTACTTGTTTTGAAAATGATTCAGGGGGCAAAAGTGAGAGAGAGTGAGAGAAAGAGAGAGAGAGGGAGTTAGTTTAGAGGTGGGAAGAAGAAGGTGTAAAAAATTGGGGGGGAAATTTGATAGTGCTATTTTGAAGGCAATAACTGATAAAAAAAATTCTGACAAAAAGTAATGTTTATTCTCTGAGGGAAAAAAAAAATCTCTTCCTGAGTATATCTTAAGTTGTTAAAATAGATAGTTGGCCAGCCCACTGATGTAATAAACACTTTTTTTCGTTTCCCTTTCATCTAAAACTTAGTGCAAAGAATTAAAGACCAAAATGATTTGTAATCTAGCAGTTACTAACAGGCAACTCCATTCTGTTTAAAAAATTACACTAAGAACAACACTGAATGCTACAATATGGGTGAACTTCTGCCAAGTGAAAGAAGCCAGTCACAAAAGACCACATAATATATGATCCCATTTATATGACATATCCAGAACAGGCAAATCATAGAGACAGAAAGCAGATTAGTGGTTGCTTAGGGCTGGGGAGGTTGGGGGGACATGGGAAGTGACTGCTAATGTGTATGGGTTGCTTTGGGGGGCAATAAAAATGTGGTGATGACAGTACAACTCTGTGACTACACTAAGAATGACTGAATTGTACATCTGAAATGGCTGGACTGTAAGGTACATGAATGCATCTCAATACAGCTGTTATAAAAACAGAAAAGAACAACATAGGAGCAAAATGCCCAAACCCACCCTGCACACCCTCACTCCCACAAGCTGCTGGCACTCACTTGGAAGCCTTCATGGAATCATCGGCCCAGCCTCCTTGCCTGCGGCGGGGTGGTTTGGGAGGGGGATCCTACGAGGAAAGAGAAGCCAAAATAACAATCACTCAACATGTGCATTCAGGCAAGCAATGGCTGAGGGTAAAGTCACCTAACCCAATGCTCAACCTATCAAAACTTTCTAAATAAAAATACAGCAACCTTTCAATTCACTACAAAGATCTGGGTGCTTTCATACCCTTCTGGTGGATATAAACTGGCAAGATCTGGAGGATAATCTGGCAATGTCTGTGGAAGGCCTTAAAAATAAATGTTCATGCTGTTTGAGCTACCAATTCTAATTCAAGGAATTTATCCCAAGAAAGTAATCAAAGAGAAACACAATGTCAGTTTTGAACAGTGAATACATAATTGGAAACAAATGAAACAGACAGCAATAGGCATTAAGTAAATCACAAAATACACATGTGAAAATACTGTGCAATAATAAAAAACTATGTTAAAAAGAATATTTAATAATATTAGGTTCATTATACATTTAACTTTCAAAAACATGTAAAACAGTTAGGCATATGCTTCTGATTTTGTGAAAAGACTATTAATACCGAACATCAATTAGCTCTAAGTACATGGGTGAAAGGGGACTTCAGTGACTGAATTATGGGAAATTTTTATTTTCCTTCTTTGTACTATTGGGCATCTTCCAAATTTTTAAATAATCAACTTATACTACTTTTATAAAGTAATGAAATAAATATGTGTGAGAGGTTTATTATTGTCCGGCATATCTCAACTAAAAATCCCAAAGAACCATCAAGCAATCCACTCAATCACTCAAGTGAGATAAAACAAAGAACAGTTCCTATTTTTAATTACCCAGCATTTACCTAGATTTTTTTTAATACCTTATCCCCACCCCCCAAGAACTTCACATAATCATAACTGTTGTTCTCAGTCCAAGGAGACACTTAGGTAAATGCACTAACACAGGGTTGGCAAACATTTTCTATGAAGGGGTAGGGGTAAATATTTTTATTTTGGAGGCCATCCAATTTCTGTTGCAACTCTTCCACTCTGATACTGCAGGGCACTAAACAGCCACAGGTAATAAGTAAGTAAGTAGGTGGAACTGTGTTCCAATAAAACTTTACAAAAATAAGCTGCGGGCCAAATTGAGCAGGAAGGATGTGGTCTCCCAATGCCTGGACTGAAATGTGTCACTAACTGTCCTTTAAATCTGTTGCTTAAGGGCTAATATAACTTTTTAAGAAAACACTCCCTCAACATGCTAAAATGCCTTTCTACCAGTTTGACCCAACTGGAACCAATGGAATTCTCTGTCCCAGGAATCTGGAATTGAGGCTCAGAGGTTAGGCTGTTCAGACCGTGCTGAGACTGGAACTGCAAGGACCAGCTGGAATCAGAATAACCCAAACTGCACCAGCCAAAGTTGTATATAAGCAGAGACCAAGAACCTTGTCTTGTTGAGCTCTTACCGCTGGAAGGGACTGTGTTGGGAGACTTAAATATTAAGGAGAACTGTACTGAACCACAGCAAGATGTTTTTACACCCATTTGCCTTTAAACCATCTATCTACGTGCTTTTGCAAATAACATCTATATTTCATTACCCAAGGTTAGAGCCATTTTGTGATAATGTGAATTCTTGAGTCTAAAGGTCTCAAACTTGTATCCACATGGTTTGTTTGGCCACACAGTGGTTTGTTTTAAAATTTAAAAAGTTGGGGCGGAGGTAAGGACCCTTTTACATCTGGCCTTAGCTGTCACTTTGACTAATGATGAATATTATATAGTTAATAAAATTTCCTAAAATTAAAAAACCAAAATGATCGCTTTATCCTCTTTAACCACAAACCCAAAGAAGCCATGGCTATTGGGAGGATGAATGAAATCCTTCCCACCTAGAGGTAACAACATGACCCATTTTCTCTTATTCTCCATTGCAAAATGGTACCAGTAGCTAAATTAGGACAGCATCTTCAAAATGTGGGCGAAAGGGGTGCTATAATAAATCTATCAGAAAGTAACCTCACAGGGTGAACTGATTACAAATTCCTACCTGGGCAGGTCATAAAGTGCCAGAAGTAATCCTCTTTTCTGTCCACTCGAAGGCTAACCACCCTCTTTTTAACTATCCTGTAACTTGCTTTCTCCCACCTTCATGTAATCTTCCTTACATTCCCTCCTTAATTCTAAATGTATAAAAGGAAGTGCTTAACTGTTATTCTCTGAAGCATCTGAGATCTTGCTTCCTGGCAACTGTCATCAGTTTGGCTCAAATCAATTCTTATAAAAATTCTCTACAGGTCTGGACATTCTTACATTGACAAAAACAAAAAGACCACCACGTAACAATCATTTCTCCACATCCAATAGAATTCGACAACTAGTTCCAAAATCAAAGGTTTTGTGTTTGGTTTTCTTCACACTAATGACCAGACTTCATAATTTGGGATTTGTGGCAAAACTGTACACTACTTTTCACCGAGATCACCTGAGAGAGGAAGACTTACAGAGAAATTCTCTGCACGATATGAGGCAGGATTATAGCTGTCCTCTACTACCCAGTGGGAGTCTTGGCCATCCTCAGAGAGAATGCCGAGGCAGATGGGAGATGGGAGGGCAGACGGAACTTACTGTCTACAAGTTAGGCGTTGGGCATTTCATGGGAGAAGTCTCTTTCCTGATGAGGAATCCTCATGTTCATGACTGAGTACCCTGAGTCCAAGGATAAAAATTTCTTTTGTAAATACTCTCAACCCTGAGTCTTTGTTGTGGCCACATACAGATACCCTGTTTGGATGAGACAGACTTAACTAATCATTGTTACCAAGTTATAAAGGCTCTTCCCCAGAGTTCACCTGTGTTCTCTTGCTGGGGAGCTGGGCCTGTCCTACGCGCACCAGGTGCGTTAGAAAAAGCAGGATTTCATGCCTGTCCTCAAATACTGCCTCAGTTCAGGGAAACTTCATTGAGGCGGAATTCAGATTTCAAACGGCATCAAGGCTGTTTGAAATCTATGTAACTGGACGTTGCTTAATCTGAAACTTAAGAGGCCACAATGGGGGCTGAAGGTAGGTATTGGGGATGGAGGTACGGAGTGCCCTTTCATGGAGAGGCTGCATTCAGGATCCTGAGGTGAAACTGAGGAGGACTCCTCAGCCATGGGGCAGACCCACTGACTTCTGCTGTTTTCTTGTCACTTTTGGTGTTTTTATTGGGCCACTCTCTCCTGGAACATCACTAAGACTGTGTGCTCTGCCAACATGAATAAACCTTTATATGTAACTGAAGGCTAACCATACTTGTATTTACAAACTTGAGAAGAACTAAGGACAAGGAAAGATCCAAGTAGCTGTATGGGAAAAGTGTGGCTCACTCCAGATTGGAGAGATACGCAGAGATGGTAAGAAAGCATTCCAGAAGCAACTAGATATAAGGTGCAAGATAGCATATAATACTCGGGCTGTAGCAAATGCTATACAGTGATCATCATATTGGAGGGGTCCCTGGGAAAACTCTTGGTGGAGGGGGAGGTATGATGAGCTCCTCAGCATCCATTACTTGACAATGTAACTGGTGTAACTCAAGCACAATGCAGGGTTTGAACTTAGGTGCAAATGACCTATTTGAAATGTTGCTGGATGAGTAGCTTTTAGGGCCTAGGTGGACAGTTTGGCCTTCGAATGCCTGGCTGCTTTCCCTCAGAGCCACGATGACATCTAAATACCTATTTAGCCCTGTTTCAAAGAGCCCACGGCTCTCTCCCCAGGGTGATCTGCCTACACCAAGCCACTATTCCTAGGTCAAGCTGCTCCTTTTAGGACCAGATGCCAGAACTGCTGTGCTTCCCCCTCCCCATGTGGTCACTGATCAGATGCTGGGGCAGTTAGGAGGGGGCGGGCCTGGATGCCCTCTCCAGGGCAAATGTCACAGCCCCAGTCCACCTGCAGTGGTAAGAAGTTGTAACCTTTAGTTACGGATCCCTCCATATGGGCCAGGGAGCCTTCCCTCCCCGGCCCACCAAGTCTGGATAGTCAAGAAAAGACATGAATATGTGATTTATTTTTTCTCAAATCTTGTGTGTCTGAGTTTTCTGTGTTCTGAGTTCTCTGTGAAATGGCCTGGGAATTTAAAGGAAAGGGAATTTACTCTTGCTTCATCCTTGAACCTAGAAACTTAATCTTTAGGCAGGCTGAGGTCATTGTGGCACTTTTCTCATGGAGCACACACCAGTTCCAGAATCCACCTTAGCCAAGCACTTGGGAAGAAATAGCCGTCTGTCTGAGTTATGCCTTGGGGATAAATCTGTTTGCTATTTGTTAGGAAGGAACAAAAAGAAAAGACTTGAATGGATGAGAGAGGGTAGAACTTAAATGGTCTTAAAAAGCCAAAAGAGAAGGCCTGATCCCAAAATTCAAAAGTGCTGGTGTATTCTTTAAATTGTTCTGCTTGTAAAATTTAGGGCATCATCTGCTGAAAAAACAATTTCCAATTTTGGCAGATTTACTGCCAGGTAACATTACTCAAACTTGTTTTTAGAAGAGAGCCTTAAAATGTGTAACACCGGGAGGGACAGAAACAGGGATGGTGAGGGCAGCCCTAAGGCAGTGCATCCTTCGTGTTCTCTCCTGAAAGCTCGAGTCACGTCTTGGAGTGTGGGAAATGAGCACAGTCTGCCGAGTCTGCAGCCTGATGGACAGAAGGGGGCAGGACCCCGCATAGCTCCTGAGGAGAAGCAAAAATGTGCTCCCTCCAAAAATAAACAGGGGGCAGGAATAACTGTGAGTAAAGAGTGGGAAGCACATGACTGGTGGTTGCAGTCCTGAAATACCAGCTTTCTACAAAAAGGATCCTGTGACAGGCAGAGAGCGGGAAATTCAGGAAACGGCCTCTTTATATGGTCTCATCCGAATGGCCAGGATTCAACCAAGTGGAATTACCAAGTCAGAGGGAGCCTTTAGGGCCAGACTAGTTTCTGATCTTTATATGGTTCCCCCAGATTCTTAAGATGCCAAAATAGAAAGATACTGCAGTGCCAAAAAAGGAGCCT